GGGGGGGGGGGGCACCAGAGTGCAGCTGTGCATCCTTGAGCAAGTTCCTTGGCCTCTCTGCTGCCTCTGTTTGCTCATCTGTGAAATGGGACCGATAGTACCCCACCTCACGGTGCTGTTGTGCGGGTTGTGCACATCACTTAGCACAGTCTGGGCAGGTGTTTGCTATTTAATTCCCATGGGGTGATTCTCCTTTCTCACCTAAGAACACATTATGGCCATTTCTCCCAGGTCACCGGATGTCACTTCGTCACACACATCCCTCTCCAAGCCGGCAACGTCTCTCCACGGGAGATGAGGATATTACCCTTATTGTACACGTTAAAAAATAAACTGGCTCAGAAAGGTTAATTCATTTGTCTGAGACCACAGAGCTAGAGGCCACTCAGGGACCAAAAAATGGAAAAATAGAGAAGACATTTGAAAACATCTTGAGAACATTCTGAAGTCTGTGTGACAGCCTCTTCTTTTTTCAGTTTGTTTTTGAGAGAGAGAGAGAGAGAGAGAGAGAGCGAGCGCACAAGTATGGGAGGGGCAGAGAGACTGGGGGAGACAGAGAATCCCAAACAGGCTCCGCACGGTCAGCGCAGGGCCTGACATGGGGCTCGAACCCACCAACCACGAGATCACGACCTGAGCCGAAACCGAGAGATGGATGCTTAACGGACCGAGCCCCCCCGGTGTCCTGAGCCTCTTCGTTGTTACTATGTGAAGGGACACACGTCCGGGTCTTGCCCCACCCCACCCCCCACCCCAAGTCCCCTCTCAGAGGCTCTCCCGGGGACGGCCATCCATCCCCTCTGGTTTTCATGGGAAGAAGGGTCAAAGCCCTATCACTTCAGGATCTCTCTCTCTCACCCGGCACTCCTGTATCTCAGGTCATTTTTGCTGTTATTCTGGGGGCTGGGGAGGATCAAAGAGCCGGGACACTCGTGTCACCAGCGATGACAGACTGGCTTTGGTGCATGTGTGTCCTCCGCTGACAACGAGCACACTGGCCCACTGGCCCAGACGCACGCGGACTGGCGTTGTTCCGGGGGCTTCTCCTCCTCCCGGCCTCCCTCCTCAGCCCCCGCAAGGGCCGCCGGCCCCGACAGATGGACAGCAGCCGCTGCCCCTTCGTCCTGCTCCGGGAACCACTCTGCCCAGGGCGAGCGGCACGGTCGCGCAGAGAGCCGCTTAGATTCTGGGGGCCCGCAGCCCCCCTGGCTTCCTGCACGGCGGGGCCGTGTCTGCGGTGACGCACGCGGGGGGCTCCCCAATGCAGGCACCCCGCCCGCGTGCCCCCCGGCAGCAGCCCGCCCTCGGAGGTGCCTTCTGCAGGCGAAGTCGTTTTTGAATTAGCTGTTTGCTCAGGTGGGTCCACGGCCCCGGGTCTGGGGGGCAGAGCATGAAGGGTCATTCCCCACCTCCCCTTCTCCAAGCCGCAGAGCTCCCCAAGCGCAGCCAGGGTTGGCTGTCTGTCTGTCTCTCTGATCCTTCTGAACTGCTGACACCATAAGTCTGCCCATCCACAGGTAGCCTTCCTTCCAGAAGGAAACAGCTTTCCCGAGAGAGGGCTAGGAGAGCTTTCTGGATCAGCCTGTCTGCTGCCTTTGGGAGGGCTCCCCCACCTCCCCGCTGCAGTCAAGTAAAACGGTTTGTCTCCAGCGAGGTGGTTCCAGGTAGAGCCCTGCGGACCGTGGCCACTCCACCCAGAACCGCCTAATGAGCAGGCGGGGGGTCCCCGCCCTCCCAGATCAGCCGCCGTGAAAGGCCCCCTTTGTGACAGGGGAGTCACAATGCTCTCTTGTCAGAGGGCCTCCTGGAGCGTCCGTGAGGCGGGCAGCCGGCGGAGCGGAGCAGAGCAGAAGGAAGAGAGCGATTTCGAGGTGGTTTCCGTGGCCCCGTGGCCCCAGTGGAGGCTCTCACGTTTCCAGGCCCGAGCTGGAGCATGGGCTCCTTCCTCAAGCAGACCCAGCCTTGGCCGCAGGGAGGCCAGGAGTGCGAGGCCCAGGGACGTGCCAGCCGGAGGGGGGCGGGGGACGCTGGGAGGCCGGGGGCCCAGGAGGGCGTGATGGCCAGGATGAAACTCAAATCTGCAGTTACAGGCGATTCCCTTCTTCCTGTTATTCTAAAGCCAAGTGCTTCACACGTTTGGGAGGTATTATTAAACACGGGTCTGCTGGATGCTCTGTGGTCGGAGCTAATTTCTTCCAGTTTGCGGAGCGTCTAGTCACCCTCCAGAGCCCTCGGCAGGACCTGTCAGAACGGCCGGGACCGCGTGGATGTTTGGCCTGGGTCCCCTGCCGTGCGCCCGCGCCTCGGAAACCGGCGAGGCGCGCCCTGCAGAACCCGTCCCCAGACTTCAGGGCTCTCCCGGGGGGCACGTGGGTGTGAATTCCAAAGCAGTGGCACCATGGTCACCAGCGCCTAATGCGGGAGTTACTTCTGTTCACCCCAGTGGGATGAAAGTCTGGGATTTTAGTTCGTCTCAGATTTGCCCCGAAGGCAGGTGTACAACTGATTAGCAACAAGGCTTCTTTTGACAGACACAAATTCTCGGAACATTCCAGAGAAGACAGAGGGGGACTATGCCCCGTTGTGGGTATGGAGACGCGCTCTTCGAGAGTGGAAGGAAGTTCAGATTTGTCAAAAGAAAATTCGGGCCAGGGTTCAGACTCTCAGGTGTGTGTCCCGTCCCCGAAAGTGACATCCCAGGATGGCGTGTGCTCTCCCAAGAGAAGGGATTCTAGAGCCGCAGGAAGTGGGTTCGAATCCCGGCTCCTCCTTGCACTAGCCACGTGGGCCTCAGTTTCCTCATCTGTAAACGGGTGTAATGACTGTATCTGGCTGTCCGACTAAAGGAGTTAATAATTACAACGTGGTTAAAGGTTCCTGGTGCATAATAAGTGCTCAGTAAACGTTGCTATGGTTACGCTTCCTTCCTGCACGTTTGTGATGGCTCTGCCATCAGCCCCCAGGAAGGGCCCTTTCTAATGAGGTGGTGATCCACGTGTCTATCTGCCCAGGGGCAGAAAGGCCAGCAAATGGGCACAGCTCTGATTTTTTTCTGTCCACCTGACAAACGCAGACAAGGTTGGCTGAAACCTTGTCGGCAAATCTTTGAAGATCGTTCTCAGTGGCTGGACTGAGCACATGGGCCCGACAGAAAACACTGGCAGACCGGCCCACAGCCCTGCCTGGTCCCCAGATCCCAGGCCTGCCAGGAAGAGTGACGCAGCCAGGCAGGTTTGGCGTGGACTCGGCCAGGCTGCAGGGCCGCTCACTGACTCTAAGGCTCATCTAAGTGTTGCTTCGAAGGTATCTGGTGAATGTGGGCAGCGTCCACGGCCAGGTGGCTTTAAATAAAGGAGATGAGCCACAATAATCTGGGTGGGCCTCGTCCGATCAGGTGAAGGCCTGACAAACCAAAACAGGTTTCCCAGAAAAGAAGAAATTCTGCTTCAAGACCACAGCAACAGCTCCTGCCTGAGTTTCCTGCTGGCTGTACAGATTTCAGGCCCACAGCCCCCACAAGGGTGTAAGCCAATTACTTGACGTCTCTTCGTGTATCTTACATATGCACACACACACCACATATGTATCTCCTACGCATCGCTCTCCCACACGCGTCACATTTATGTCAATGGGCGTACATATAACCTCCTACTGGCTCTGTTTCTCTGGAGACCCCTGGCTGGGTGGGGCAGGAGGGGGCCCTCTCATCACTGTCGCAACAGTAGGATCACCACCACCGCTGTTCTTGAATGCCGGACTCCGTGGATCCCCTCGTCAAAGCCAACCAATGGCTTCCTGTGTTTGTGAAAGTGTCCAGGTAAGATTCGGCTGCAGCAAGGATGCACGCATCTACAATTTCTGTTTCGAGAAACGTGACTGCTCGGGGACCTCACGTAAGGGGAACCGTACGGCGTCTGTCCTTTTGCGACAGGCTCCCGTCACCGAACGTGACGTCTCAGGTTCACCCAGGTTGTCGCGGGTGTCGCAGTTTCCCCCTTTGAAGGCTGAATAACAACCCGCTGTGTGTTTTCTCCACATTTTGTCGATCCGTTTATCCGTCACCTGGCTGGCTCCCACTTCTCGGATATTGTGAATAACACTGTTATGAGCACGGATGTGCAAAGATCTCTCCGGAACCTGCTCTCGGTTCCTTCAGAGATACACCCAGAAGTGGGGCACACGGATTTTCTTTATTGGCATTTCCTCAGGAATCCTCACGAGGCGGGACCCACCTTCACACCTTGTAGGCCAATCCCGTCGTTTTCAACAGGACGGTTCCATGGCTTACGGTATCGTGTCTGTGTGTGTGCGGCCGCAGGGGCACAGGCTTGGCCACGCAGATGACACCTGGTGAATCGTGGCCCCTCCGAGGGACTCGGGACACAGCACCTACCTGTCTTTTGCTAAGTGGTTGCAGGGAGAGCTGCAGGGGGCACAAAGGAACACCCCACACCCCACGAAGGCCGACTTCCCTTCCCACGACCTCTGAGCCCCTCAGGGACGGGCTGGGGAAGTATGTGGCTTTGGGGTCTGGCGGGAGGCCCTAAACAAGGGGGACACTGCCGAGGAACGGAGGTGGTCCTGACCGCCTGCGGACATAACCTCACCGAGCCCGCCGGGCCACACGACCACCCAGAGCAGAGCCCTGGGCCGGCCGCTCTGGAGGGGTGTGGGCGCGGGGACGGCTCCTGTGGCCTCTCGACAAACAGTACCGAGGCGGGGAGCGGCCGGTCCAGAAGCGCAGGCCGGTGAGGCCCCACGCCCCCAGGGCTGAGAGCGGGGCAGCGTCTCCGGGGACAGAGCCGGACCCACGTCGTGCTGGGGGTGTGAGACGGTGTGCCCAGGGACCCAGGAAAACGGAGGCGCACGGGGCTTTTCTAGGCAACGAGGCATCAGCTTTCCTCCGGCCGAAGAGTCGGGGAAAGCGGACCGTCCTCTCAGGACGCCAGTCCCCTCTTTGCAGGGACGGTTGCCGTCAACGGTATTCACCGTTCGCCACCCCCTCCCTCGGGGTCCACCCGGCCACCTCCGATCCGGAATGCACTTCCGGACTCCCCTGCAGCCAGCAGTGACCACGTGACCGAGTGTGGGGCCAACGGGATGTCAGCGGAAGTGACGCGTCTCATACCCTCGAGGGGAGGGGGGCGGGGGAGAAGCCAGAACACTGAAGGATCGGTACAGACGGGCCCTGCGAAATCAGAACGCACGCTGACCACAAGGAGCCCCGCCGGGCGCCCAGGAGATCGTCTCCTCTCTGCCGAGGAGCGTGTGGTCCCATGGAAAAGCACGGGGCGCGTGGCCCGAGGTTCCCGTTGCCCTGTCTGCACACACCGCCCCGCCCCGTGGAGGGCCGACCCCCTCTGGCCCACACCCGGGGCGGCCTCCCTTTGCTCCCCGGCTTTCCCTTCTCAGCGCCCAGGGCTCGGGTGTGGGCAGGGAGTCCCTCCGCCAGGGGCTGCTCGGCCTGCCTGGGGGGCTTGCCTGGTGACGTGGGGAGCTGGGGTGGCTAGAATGTAGGGAACCCTCCCGTGTCCTCAAAGCCTCTGGACTGCAGGGAGGCCGCAGACGCCGAGCGCCTGACTTGGAAGTTAAGGGCTTTCTCTCTGCATTCCGACCATGGCATCCTAATCCCCTGTGGCGGACTGCTGCTTCTCAAGAAAACGCAGAAGGTCAGAACGGACACGCGTAAAGCTGCTGCAGCAAAGACCTCAGCACAACGGCTGGGACAGACAGCCTCAGGGCCTCGCGCTCACAGGCCCTGAGAAGGCCAGCGAGAGGGTCCCGGGAGGGCACGGAAGCGGCTGGTCCTTGACTCCTCCGCTCCGCTCCCCTTCAGATACCGGTCTTCAGGTCACAAGACGGCTGAGGATGCGGGGAACGGCAGTGACAGCTTGCCCCGCGCCACATACGTCCCCCATCCCGGCCCCTGCAATCCCCGTGCCTCCTCAGAGCCGGCCCCGTTTTACAGAGGAGAAAGCTGTCACAACGAATTAATTCTGTCCTTTCACACGGCAAGACCTACAGGCAGGGTGACCCCACGGTTTGTGACAACACCATAAGGGACTCGCTCCTTTTGTTGTTCTGCTCAGCCAGGAGCTCGGTCCTCAAGCTCACAAGATGGTTGCAGCAGACTGGCCATCACATCAGATACGAGCACACCGGTCAGGATGAGTGCGTGCATGTGCATGCACACACACACGTGCACACACACACACACTCTTCCCAGAAGCCCTTCAGAAGGCTTCCGTCTAAGGTCTACTGGCCAAAATCAGGGCACATGTCCATGCTCTGGCTGCAAGGGGATCTGGGAACTGAAACACCTTCTGACGTAGAAAGCTCCTAGCACGATGCCCGTTGCCCAGTGACAGGTCAGGAGAAAGTGACGTGATTTCAGAGTGTGTGCTTGGGGGCCGACAGACCCCGCCGTCCACACTGGCCGCCAGAGCTGTCATGAGGACGAAGGTTTGAGGCGCACGGAAACCACGCTGCGGGGCGTGTCTTTCCAAGGACCTCAGCTCCGGGAGCACCTGCTGGCCGCGGGCAGAGGGAAGGCGGCAGCTGCGTTCGGACCTACCTGATGACACGGCCTGATTTTTAAAACCCGTTTGCCAAAGCCCCACCAAAACACAGCTCTGACGGGATACGGGCTACCCCTAACCTTCCGTATACACATACATCACTTTTAGAAGCCGATGCCTTCACGTCAAAAGAAGTCCGATACCTTACCCGGCTGGGATGATCGCAAGGCACGTTTACCACGACACGGAACTGATTTTTACAACGTGTGTCTTTTTTTTTTTTTTTTTTTT